AATCTTTTTGGGGCAATTTTGCGGCTTAGTAATCAGGGTAATCAGTGTCGCGAATATGTATACATATATATATTAGCAAGATACAAGTTGCCAGCGCCACGGCTACATTACGTGGACATCGGAACTATTTGTGTGTCAGGGGGCTGCTCGCGACTTACCACGCTGCGAGTCGTGTGAATGGGCCAGCGCGGCGCGTTCTTCCCGCCGAATGTCGGTAAATGTGGGACGAGTCAAAAGAAACGCGCCATTGTCGAGGCTTGTCTCGTGAATCCGTTCACACAGGCTTGGACAGGTTCGTAGCTTGTGCGTGTATAGCAACTGTGACACCACCATGGTTCGCACAGCACTACAAGCGGCGCGCCGTAGCGCGAAGTTCGCGAATTAACGCGTCGTGAGAACAGTCAGAGCTTGATAAAGGACAAATCGACGAGCCTGTACGAGCGGCGTGAAGCTTGTACAGACTCGTCAAACCACGCGCCGTGTAATGGTACCTTTAGATGAGTGACCAAGTCCTCATGCGTTATATCAATTAGAGGCCGAGTTCCTCGTTCGTGACCAGATGAGTGACCGAGTCCTTATGCGTTATATCAATTAGAAGCCGAGTCCCTCATGTGTAACAATAGATGAGCGATCAAGTCCTCACGCATTGCATCATTTAGAGGCCAAGTTCTCGCGCATTCACCTGACAACCGCCACACAAGGCTTTATCAATAAAAAAGGACGTTAAAGGGGATTCAGTGTTTTTTTCAATTTACAATCTCCTGAACTCACAGAACAGAGTTTTTATGCAAAACAATGCATTTTTATAACATGCAATAAATAAAAAATAACGTTACTTACATTTAGAATAAACAAATTACTTACATTTAGATTATACTGTAGAATTTTGAAAGAAAAAGTACAATATATCGAGACTCGAACCAGGAGCGTCGACTAACGTAGTACGCTAACACTAGGATAAGCGCTCTTCAATTAAACGATCTATTTAATATCCTTAAATAAAGTAACTTGAAATTTTTGAAGTCGATTTTCTCGCGAATACTTAAATAGTGCGTCTTATTACTTTACCCTGCAATACTCCGCATAGTCATCTATCGATCCTATAAAGTTCATCCACATCAATTGGTACAACGTCGCGACCTCCTCTTGTCAGCGCAACCGGCGCAACCGGAAGTTGCGCCAAGCTGCTTGCCTTTGCACTGAGCGCAGCAGAGCCGAACAGGTTAGAAGGCTAACACGCCTTTTCCGACACTGACGGGAAATAATAACGATAACAACAGTACTGATAACAATACTCATTGTATCAACAACGTCAACAGTATTATTAATAACAGTGACAATCATGAAATAGATAATTGCGAGCAACTAGATAATCCAATAGATCGCGTAACTCTCGAAACTCGTTCAGACGACACACTTTGTGACACTTCACCACACGCACACACGCACGCACGCACACACGGTCTGATAATCGTCACGTCCTCGCCATAGACCCAATGATGGAAATTCAAGCCCGCGCACGCTACCGTTTTTCCCTCTCCACTTACGCACACATAGACGCTCGGTCTATCCGTCGGTGCTGCCGAGTTACACAGATGAATCGAGCGTCAATGTGTGCGTAAGTAGAGGGGGAAAAACGATAGCGTGCGCGGGCTCAAATTTCCATCACTGCATAGACCTTGGGTAACGCAAAGAACGAAAACAATAAACAAGAAAATGCAAATTTTTGTTTTATGATCATAACTTTCGATTGGAGAGTCGTAGCAAACTTTTTCAAAAAACATTTGTTTTGTCTTTAAAACACCTTTAAAATGAGCTCTCAGATGACCTTTCATGCTATGTAAGATTTTTAAGTCATCCCCGCTCTCGTGTCTCAAGAAAGTGGAGGGTGGATGCTATCCTGCACAAAAAATATCTTTTACAATCCTACAAATTTTCCAAATTTCAACTTTCTATCTAGATTTGTTCAAAAGTTATGAGAGTGTATCCAGATTTTTGTCCCACTCTGTATATAAAGATCAAGGTGATCGGGGCTGGGTTCGTTATTGTCAACATTTACTTTTATTTGTTATATTCCCAGATATCCGCGGTTCGACTCATCTATCCTTTTCGAAAAATACACCTTAGATTTCAACGCTTTCTACTTAGACGAGCTTCGTGAAAAAGCTCCGTCCTTCCCTCCGATGAGATAATTCCCGTCGTCTTTACAGATTCTCCCTTCCATTACAATGTTTTGCACGGTTTTTCCATCATTATTATTCTCCGTTTACCGTCACGATCCAAGAAATCCCTCGTTGACATCCATTTCATAAGAATCATGTTGCGAACCAAAGAGATATACACACATACACACATACACACATACATATGTGCACATTCTTACGCTCTCACAACAATACTAAAACTCATATTGTATAACCCACCGGAAGCTCTTATACTCACATATGCACACACACAGTTTTCTTCTATCTTTGAGTGATAACCTAATCTGCCAATCTTTGTAAATATCGCGATAAAACACACATACTCCACACAGACATCCATTAGACATCTATTAGATGTCGCATGAAGCTGTCGACGTCTAATAGATGTCTAATGGAGGTTTTCTTCTGTGTGGGACATACTCATCTCGACTCCAATTTACCTTTAATTAAATTAAATTTAAATACTAATATATTTGTAATTATAATAATATAAATATTAATGAATAAATTTCTATTGCAACAAAATTATTACGTTTTTTTTTTTAAAGAACCTTGACCCTTCAATTTCTCATCCTCAACGATTGCACAGTCCCGTCCTTAGTGGAATTAACGTTCCAGACTAAAAAGAGGCCAATAAGCAAGAATTTATAGAACAAAGTAAAATCGGTGCCGCTGACTCCAAAAATATAAATAATTTTAACTTATATATTTTTAGCTTGTTGAATATTTAAATAAAAAGAATTAAGGAAATAGCAATAACAAGCTAACATCAGATGTTCAAGTACAATTTTTTTATAATTCAAAGATTTTAAAAAAGTTTCAACAAACGTTTTAATCCACTATGGGATCTTCTTCAGTGCTTTAATAAAAACTTACAAAACTAATGGTCTATTCAAGATCATGAGAATTATGAATTAGAAAAGATACGTTACATAGATATTCGGTATGAGAAAAAGAGAGGCGGAAATGGCAGTCACGTAGTCATCAGTATTACGCAACAGGACGCAAACTGTCCTCCCGCTTTGAATGTAACTGACAGACTGAGCGGCCCCCTCCACACTCAAGATACATTTAACGGTCTCATTCCCACCATATCGCTTCAACCAAACTAAGACCAAGTCGCCCTATAATTGTCTAAAAATAAAAAGTATGGTTTGTCCGTGTCCGACATGACGTTAATTGAATTGCTTTGTACTTTGATGTGTATCATCTCGGAAATGGATCTCTAGAAAAAGGAAGATTCTGTGTTTAAGACTTTGACATTTTGCTAATTGAAATTGTGGTGTCAATTCTATGCTGTGTAACTACGAAAACATTCTCCATGCGACGATTAATTTAATTTTTGTGTTCGGAAACTCTACTATTGAGTTGTCTCATAGTCTGGCTGACATACAAAGCATCGCAATCATTACATTGCAACTTATAAACTACATTTTTTTGTTCACTATCTGCAGGATCTTTGATATTTTTGATAAATCGATTCAATTTATTGAGATTTCTATAAGCTAACATATTTCCATCTCCCGTTTTTAACAATTTTAAAATTGTGTGCGACATTTTAATAATAAAAAGTACAACAAAATATTTTTTAATGATTTTTGAAGTTGGTGTGGACTTCAAACTGTCCAATATTCCGTTAAGTTTGTTTGCAATCAGATATATTACCCAGTCATTGATGACTTTAAAAATGATTTCCAACAGATAGTTGTTGGAGATGAGGATGTTGATTATAAATTTTATATTCTGCGCTTTAAACACAGGGTGGAACAACAATAGAGCTCTGTTTAACATTCCAATAATAGTTCCTATTTTTTGAGAGACTGGGTGTGAGGAGTGATAATTTAAATGCCTGACCGAAAATGTGGGTTTATGGTACCAGTCGTACATGATTGTTCCGGTATTAGACACAATCAGTTTGACTCTAAAAAGCTCAAAGAATTTCCATCTGCGTTTCAATCGTGAACTTCGATCTGTCATTATATCCGTTGAAAGTATCCAAAAGATAATTTAAATCGTTGGCGGGTGCGGTTAAACTAATGTCATCCACATATTGTTAATAAAAAGTGGGTCTAAATTTTAATTTTTCCACTACGGAAACTCCCAAATCTTGCATCACTATATCCGCGATAATAGGGGACAATGGATAACCCATCGGTACCTTAAAGATTTACTTATATATATTATTGTTGAACAAAAAATAAGTGGATGACAAAACAAATTCAACCGCCTTAAAAAAATCGGAGAGAGCGACCTTTGTCTGGAGTCGAATGTATTTTCATCTAATCTTGATGCTTCGCATGACCAAATCAATCGGAATGTTCGTAAATAATGAGACCACGTCTAAAGACAGAAGAACGTCATTAGGCTGCACCACAACGTTGCCTAGTTTATAGACCAAATCAAAACTGTTGTTGATGTGGCTGTCGGTTAACGGAATACTTTTGACAATGATATTGTGTAAATACTCAGCAAAACAATGTAGGGGGCTATTAATTGAAGATACTATTAATCTATATGGATATCTCTGTTTGTGGATTTTGAGCACTCCACAAGCCCTTGGGATGATCCCATCACTCGATTTAATACATTTGTAAACCAAATCAGTGATATAATCTTTCTTTACTTAATTTTTCAACAATTCATTAAGTTGAGTCAACATTTTTGATGGGATTTTTTTTTATTTTGTCGTAAGTGAGAGGATCATCAAGTAACCCGTTAATTTTTTCAACATAAACAGACCGATCTAGTGCAACCGTCACATTCCCCTTGTCCGCACGTGTAAACATTATGTTTGGATGATTCCTCCGGAACTCGAAAGCTTGCTTTGTTCTAGCAAGTAAACCGCATTCTATATCACTTAACTTGGGCTTTCAATTAAAAAAATTATTTAGAGATAATATTAAATTAGACCTGGCGGTTTCCACAAATTTTCTCTCATTGTGTTTAACGCTATTTTTAAAATCCTTAATAACTTCGATAAGATCTCTCTTATCGGTGCTTGGCAGACTAAAATTTCCTTCTAACTGTAATAAACTGACCACCGAATCAAGAATATTGTGATTACTTAAGGTGACAAACCATTTATGTTTAATGTCAAAAAGCGAAGAAGCCCTAACATGTCCAACAAATTCTTCAAGATCTACAGAGACATTAATCGAAAAAATACTAGATGAGTTTTCGTTGAAATTGTATTTGAAGTTTTTTTTACTTTCCGCAGTTTTATTGGATTCAGAATCTTTTTTGTAATTAATTGAGTAAGTGATCAGTTTTGTCTAAATAATAAAATCTAGGAAATATCTGGTAGCAAGTAAATTGATTTTTTTATTGATTTTTGAATTGTGAATATCGAAAAATTTATTAAACGCAAGACTCTGTGAGCGAAAAAAAGAACATCAAGAATGTTACCCAGAACATATTTGTATAAATTTTTGGAAGCAATGATAATTGTTTTTTGTAGAAACCTTATATTGCTATATGTGTCGGCTATTTCGAGCTTCAATATGTTCTTAAAGAATCTCCGTTCAATGTTTCGTAATTTGAACATATATTTGTAATCATAGAACTCATTGTTGTAATTAAAAGTGTTACATATGTGTGTGGGAATAATATCGAGACTTGCAACATGCTTCAGATCATACACTCTAGTTGTCATCGTGATTAATTTATAATTGTTCGGTATCCAATTTTTCATCATCCTAACAAAGATACTCCCAAATACAGTTGTCAAAGTCTTGGACACAGAATCTTCCTTTTTCAAGAGATCCGTTTCCGAGATGATACACATCAAATTACGAAGCAATTCAATTAACGTCATGTCGGATACGGACAAGCTAAAACCATATTTTTCATTTTTAGAAAATTATAGGGCGTGTTGGTCTTCGTTCGGTTAAAGCGATGTGGTGGAGATGAGACCGTTACATGTACCTTGAATATAGAGGGGGCTCAGTCCGCCAGTTACATTCAAAGCGGGAGGACGGTTTGCGTCCTGTTGCGTAATACTGATGACTACGTGACTGCTACTTCCGCCTCTTTTTTTCTCATACCGAATATCCATGTAGCGTATCTTTTCTTATCCATCATTAATCTTCATGATCTTGAATGGATCATTACTTTTGTAAGTTTTTATTACAACACTGAAGAAGATCCCATAGTAGATCGAAACGTTTGTTAAAACTTTTTTAAAAAATCTTTGAATTATAAAAGAATTGTAACCGAACATCTGGTGTTAGCTTGTTATTGCCATTTCCTTAATTATTTTATATAAATAATTTTGCTTGACTCATGTACAGTAGGATTTCCTAGTCCTCTGTATTGAGCATCAAATAAATACGTCGAGCTGTTTCATACACAGAGAGAACGGTTTCTTTAAATTTAATAATCCGATTTGTTTGACTCATATTTGTTGCATTCAAACAACATAATTTTATACAAACAACAATTTTGGTAAATGAAAATTATATTGTTACGTTAAAATAAATCAAATTATTTGACAAAAACAATACAAATGTTTGAATTTATTTATTTCAACAAAATAATATTTTATTTGATTTTAATATAAGCAGTATTTACTGAAAAAAATTATTTTGTAACATAAATATAACAAAATATATTTGATTTAGATATAGCTTTGTTTGAGACAAAAAATTTCGCGTTGTGAAAATGTACTTTAAATTATAAAAATAATTAATAATTAATAACAATAAGAGAGAAATATTTTTATCCATTGTTGCAGATAAATTGCAATATTTTTAATAAAATAATAAATTAAAAAAATAATAAATGAAATGCGTATAGGATAGCTTGAGAATAAGTAGATAAAAATAATCACAGTTTAGTAAGGAACAGGTAGTCTTGCGAACTGAGTGCAGGGGCTGCGATTATGACGGAGGCGTATCGAGTTCGAATCTCGTTATCACCTTAGGATTTTTTTCAGGTCTCTTTCAGTGGAGTTTATCGGTTGATTGGCAAGCTGAATCGCGGGCCTCCAAAGATTACTTTGAGTAAACTCTGGTAGTTGTGTGAGGGCGCAAGCCGCGGAAAAGTTTTTTTATTAAAGTTGTAGATTTACTTAACTTAATAAAATACTTTGTTTGAAATTCAAACAATCAGAATGTTTAGTTCAAAATCAAAGTTGTTTGGACTATTCTAATGATATAATTTGTTTGGATGTAACAAAATTTGGTGAATCTAAAGAAACCATTCTCTCTGTGTACCATAGTTTGACCGTATCCATGGGCCAGGACATAACAAGTTTTATGTACAAGGTGTCTGAAACATTCTGTTACAGCTGAAGATAGATTAGATGTGTGAACATAGATTAGTTAATAGATTTGTTACTCTGAACAATCATTTTCAAGTTTGCAAAATTTGCAATATTTATTGAGTTATTAATTAATTAATATGAGTCAATGAACACGTAAAACGATGGTCCAGATTCTGTAGGCGTGTATAATTTTCAATTAAAGAAAAATAGCAATCGTCTTGCAATTTCTTAATAACAAAAAACGAATTAAACAACGAGCAGCGTGTAACAGTTTTTTGCGATTAACTGATTGTTACAGTGATATAACTACAAAATGTACATGCCTACAAAGTCTGGATCATTGTTTCCCACGTGCTCATTGGCTCACATTAAGTAATAATTCAATAAATATTGCAACTTTTGCAAATAACTTTTCTATTTAGATTGACCTATATTAATTTATCATCACACTTCGACTGTGGCACATTTTTCAGACATTCTGAATAATTCAATAAGATCATCTAAGTATAAGCCAATATACATAATGTTTATATAAAACTGTTTCTTTATTATGTAAATTGTAAATAATAACAAACTTCAAATATTTTAATTTTAAGTTTGAATCTTTCTCAATAATAGCAAATTTTAAATTTCTATAGATGAATATAACATGATTAACGTTAAAAAGTTTAAAATTTAACATCACTACATACATAAATGAAACGATAATATATATTACTATGATGTTAGTACAAAAAATTGGAATATAAGTTTAATAATAACGTTTTCACTTAATTAAGAAAGATATAATAATATAATGATATCAGCAAACTGTCAAAAAAACAAGTGATTTTTACAAATTTATATAAGTGTCAAAATTTTACAGTTGAGTTATGTTTACATTTATTATTATTTGAATCAAAGTAAGAAAATTAATTATTTACAGTAGGGAGAACTTCATCAATTTTGATGACCTTAAAATATGTTATAAAAGTCTGAACAACTTTTTTTTATACATATGACCGCCGCTTGGCTTTAGTTTTCGAGATATTTACGAAAACCTAAGTACATGCTTAAGTGGCAAAGTGCATACAAAGACGAACTACGTTTATCTTTGCAATATATTTTCAAATTAATGGTATAATAGTAAAAGCAGTAATTAATGTAAACATTCAGAAAAAACATGTATGTACTATGTTCGTGTTTTGTACGTATAGGTAGGAGGAGGTTCCTCGCAGGAAGAGGAGATTTGCCCCTTCCCCCTTGTTGTGATTACGGGGAGTTGTAGGACTTGGTGATGAGAAAGATTCTTTAAAAAACTGACTAAGTTTATTAAATATCACTTTTACAANTCTTTGTACAATTAACGCACGCTATATCTGACTTTTAGCCGTTGCTATACTGCGGTACACTCTCCNATCATACTTATCACTACGCTTAACAAGCAGATTTCATTACAAGGAAATGCTGCTTGTTACTTTTTGAAACAAAACCGGGTCGATTGAGCAATGATGCGTACTTACCGCAATTGCTCAATGGCCCGAACGAAATTAGAACTAAATTTCACAACACCCTGCATCTCCCCGAAAAAACCTACTCAACTCAATCTCTAATATGTTACTGCAATATAGTAACGTATTTGCATCGTAACATTAATGATAATAACGCAGGTTGGGTTAAGTAGGTTTTTTTGAAGGGGATGCAGGTGGGCGCAGCCTACTTGCCTACACGCTCAACAAAAAGAACAACATGAAAAATGGAGTGTAATGGTAAGATAAATTTAACTAAAGTTTTTTGTGAATATCTGAAAAACTAAAGCCGAGCGGCGGTCATATGTATAAGAAAAAGTTGATCAAAACGTAGATCTTAACAACATAATTTAAGGTCATCAAAATCGGTGAGGTCCTCTGTAATGTAAATAATTACCGTAAAAAATAAAAATAAAAATTAAAAACATACGTAATAAAATTTAAAAAATTAGTCAAATAAAAAATTTTGAATAACTTGGTGTTGTAATCACAAACAAAAAAGCTCACTAACAATTAAAATCTTGAATTTAAACTTATTTTCTAAAAAACTTGAGTAACAAGTTTTAACATTTATAACAGTTTTGCAATTTCAATTACAACCAAAAATATATTGAGGATTTATTTATTATTAAGTTTTTATATAAAACAGTTTTCATTTTCGAATAAAATGCTCTGCTCATATAAACAGTCAAATATCGATTCTCAAATGCACACTAGTTCTGACGTAAGCTTGAGTAAAAGCAACACGGTACTTTTGCGTGACTCGCAAGTTCCGATATACGAGAAGCAAATCATTAACTATAAGTCAGTGACCGAGTTATAGTATACTATAAGTAAAGCCACGTCAGTCGGACTAGATATAATCGAATGTATGAAGGACGACAGAAATTAGTACAATTAAGAAATTAAAGAAAAAAAAAGATAAAAATGAGATATTTTTATATAGAGAAATATATAATAGCACATAGAGACCTGCCACATGTTGAGTTCGGTGATGACTATCCCGGGATCCACTGTCGAATAGTAACAGCTAAAGTTTTGTCCTATGTTACCATATTCTCCAAAGAAAATAGTGCAATTCAGCTTTGGAGGGTATCCACAGCCTTTTACGTTGGGAAACAGCTTGGCACCGGTAAAATACCAGTCAGAGTCGTTGATTAAAAAACCTACAAAAGTTCTTTCGTTGTTGTTCAGCAACAAATACTCTTCTAGCAAGAGAATTAGAAGAATCGGACAGAACAAAAACCTAATATTCAACAATCGCAAATTTTACCGAAAAACAAAATCTTATATAAGTCTTAACATTAATTGTCTACTCGATTTATTAAGCCTACATCTTTATTCTAGCATTTTTTGTAAATCGAGCAATTGTAATACTAGAGATTCTTCAATAGCAGAGTTAGATTAATGATAATAAAAAATAATTACTTGCACGCATGCATGTATGTAAACATCCAATAATCCCAATAATGCCAGATATCAGAGTCTTAATACATATAATATAACCAAAAAGACATTAACACGCAGATATAACTTAAAAATGTAAAATGCAAAAATTTTATACGGGTTTTGTTTTACCATAACTTGAATTTAAATATATAAAGATTAATATCATATTTAAATTTTTGATATTTATTATATTTATTATAACTTCATAATTTTACAAGGCAATTGATAAGTATCGAAACAATTCAAAGATAGTGACAATATCACCATCAATATCATCATTATTTTTATTGTGTTGACAAATTTCATCAAAAGATTAAATGTCACACATTGGCTCATTATTGCATTTATGACAACTCGCCAAAATAGACGATCTTAGTGATTTTTGACAATCCACCAGCTCATATTTCAATTGTTGCAATGGCTAAACTGTTTTTGTTAAATTTTGAATTGCATATCTTATCCGTGTTATTTGTCAGATAACACGGTCTTGTGCGATTTTTATTTTATTTCCGAATCTGCAAAAAATGGCTTGATGGAAAGAAATTTTGAGCAATAATGTTATCGATGTCTAAATGGCTATTTTGAAGATCGAGAAATTGTATTACTAAATTACTATAAGTGCTTTTAAGAAATGCTGGTCAAAGTGTAGAAGTAAAAATCAACTATAATAAAAAATAGATCACTTGTAAAAATTTACTTGTGAACTCGTATATATATTCATATATACATGCATATTTCCGCACAAACATCCTGCGATCGGCTCGTAAGACCCTATATATATATTTCGTTGAAAAAATAGATACATTTTAACTTAATAATTTGGTTGCTTTTGTTTTAAATATTTATCAATCGCTCCTCGTATACAGTACACTTTCTCAATAATACCGAGATGGACGGTGAGGGGAAGAATTTTCCAAGAAAGTCGGTACTCACGCCCATCCGTTCTGGCGATACGAATCTTTCAAGACCTTCTCTACTGCCACTGTAACCGTAGATTCTTTGTGTATAAGTTTGAATATTTAAAAGAGTGATATTTAACTAGTTATTATTTTCTATTAATCAATACTAGTTAAGTATTTAGGTACATAAGTAGTATTTTTTCAGAAAAAGAGAATGGCATCCAGAAAACGGAAAAATGCGGGGATTGAAACGTTGTTATCTCCATCACAATCAAATGAAAAAGAGAACATCGGTTTGCAAAAAAATCACGCATGTGATATTCATCACTAATTTCACAAAAATTTAGAGAAACAATTGGTTCTTCCTATTTTCACCCATCGATGTATCGGATGCATTTTGAGTAGCAATATCGTCCAGAAGGCACAGAAAAAAATTATAATGAGGGAACGGCAGTATGTAGAAGGTATGAACTTGATCACAGCCTCGTCAAACTTATCCAACTGGAGGGGGAAACGCTCGAGCGAGAAATAAGGGAACGGCAGTATTCAGAGTGGCATTATTAAGAAAGTGTACTGTAACATCCATATATTATCAAATATATTTTAATAGGTAAGTAAGATAAAATTTGCATAAAACGGTAATTATACAATTTAGCTCTTTTTCTCAGTTTTGGCTTTTTTAATCCGATTTTTGGTAAAACCGCTTTATTTTATTACTAAAGTAAGAAATCAATGGGAAGAGCTCAAAACAAAATGTTTATAAAAAAGTTATACCCAAAAAAGTCTTATAAATAAATCTTACGTTTTTGAACATTGTGTACATTTCTTAAATAAATACTTTGTTTGTATCACACACTATCGTACACGTGTAAGCAGGGGAGGGCTTTGCAAGAAATAGAGCTACGTCACTCTCCCTGAACCCCTTCTCGAAAAACCCTAACAACTAAATTTCTAATGTTACTGCAATATGGTAACGTGTACGTGTACACTCGGTGTCATGGATTTGTTTCGTGGACGCGGAAAGCTACGGGTAAGAAGAACGGTATTCTCTAACAGTAAGTAGCGCCAACGGGCGTCGCACAGTGGGCGAAAAGTGATTTCGTTTAGACAAAAATCCACGGACAACGCAAATCTTAACGGATTTTAATGAAACTTTTTTTTAAATTCTTTCTTAAGCTTCCACCTGTTACATTTACGCAAAAACCTGATATAACCTCAAAAAATTCAAATAAGTTCAGAATACTTGATTTTTTAAGTTATAACGGATATCTAAAACAAATGCGAGTATTATTTCTAACCTAATAACAGAGCTATAAACCTTAAACCCATAAACCTTACATCCAAGACCTTTGTATCCTAAACCAATGAAACTTAAACCAACAAAACTTAATCCCATAAACTCTAAATCCATAAACCCTAATCTTATAAATCCCAAACACATGAACCCATATAGAAATCAACTATAAACCCATAAACTGTAAACGCATGAATCCATAAATCTATAAACCGTAAATCCATAAACACCCAACCCGAAACCCTAAACTCATTACTCTAAACCCATAAACCCTAAACCTGAAACTCATATATCTTAACTCATACACCCTAAACCAATAAACCTTAAGCGCCTAACACGCTAAATGGAATAAGCAGAAGGAATAAGAAAATACATTGTATATTTGTTTATACGAGGAATAAACGCTTATTTAATATTATATGTATGTCTGCTTGATGTAGATATAAACTTGTAATATATACACCCATTATTTTTTGTGCAAATACTAAAAAGTTAGTTACACTTAATTAATAATAAAACTTCTCAATACGAGAGGTTTTTGGATCTTTTTCATAAGAGAAGTTCATCTATATTGGCAGCAATATAGTTTTCATAATTAATTATTTTAAAATGTTACAAATAACACAAAAATATTTACTTTTTTGGTCGTTGTTATTTGACTTTATTATTCAAACACACATACCTTAGTATAATAAGCATTCCAAAAGTCAATATCTTTATATATTCTGAAAGTCAATATATAAGGTAAATAGTAAACATTGTTGTCAAAGACGAATCAAATATTGTCAATTTTGCTACTTATTTTCAAAAACAATGCTGCTTAAAGTTAAGTTCCAATACTTGTGATATTATTTGAAATACTACATCTGATAAAAATAGAAGAAAAGATAATGCTGACTTAACTGTTGAAAATTTGAAAATCGCTCACGATGTTCCTGAATATCATAAACAAATGCTCAGATCCAAGATTGTAAGCATATTTCTTTCGCAATATAATAAAAAATGGAAAGCTGTCTCTCGTAGAAAAGATGCATTTGTATCAAAATACGGAGCGTTTTTACAAAATGATTTTAAAGTTAATTTTACCGATCCAGTAGCATCTATATCCAATGTAAATGCATTTCATGATCAAGATATGCCAAATCAAAAATCAACCCTACATAAAGCTTCAACGAAAGGTCGACTCCGTTTGTTTTATGATAAACCTCGTTCTGAGAAAACTAAATCAAGACGAGCCCATGAAATTGCCTCATTGTATAGTGAGGAAGAAATATCAAGAGCTCTTCAAATTAAGGCACAATTTGACGACATAGCTGATCCTGAATCAGAAGAAAGCAAAATGAAAAATGATACTCTAAATATTGAGCAAGCTCTTGCTATGTATATGGACTTAGGTCTCACAATAAACACATATAATGATATGAGAACACATAATTTTAAAATATTTGAAAAGAAATTGTACGATGCTCTGAAACAACCGAAACGGGCGTGCTATCCAGATAATATAGAAATATCTGATACGCAGGTACGTGTGCATCTGTCTTTGTTGAGTCATACTACTCAAAGAATACTATTGATGGTGAGTAATGAGCAGCGGATTCAATTGGCAGACAAAATTATCACTCTCGTTGGAAAGTGAGGAATGGACGGCGCATCCGGTCAGTAAACCACAGACAGAAATGGACTTCACGCTCTCTCTCCCAAAAAGATAAGCCGGATGCTGAATCAGATGTTAGCGACAGTAAGAACAATATCGACGATTACGCAAATCTCTCAGACAAAGCAGTGTTTCTCGTCTCGTTCTCATTTCATGTAAAATTTGATCTCAAATGCACTTTGATCGATGGCAAAGTGTGCAATGTGTTAACAGAGCAAAGAGCATCAAATTTATGTAATATCTGCGGAGTTTCTTCAAAATGTATCAATAACTTGTTTTACTGTTCAGAGCCTTCCATGCAATAAGGAATTCTACAAATTTGGACTCTCTTCTTTGCACTGCTGGCTTTGATGTATAGAGTATGTGTTACACATAACATACAATTTGGATTTTAAGAAAGGTTTTGCTACTGGAGTTCATAAAGATATAAAAATGTTAAGGAAGAAGATCCAAAACCGTCTTTCATGACGGAATTGTCTATAACAATCTTTTTTTATCGACGTTGTTAAACAAAGAGCCGGGACAACCAACACTGGAAATGTTGCACGCGCATTTTTTGAGAAGGCAAAAGATGTATCTCAAATTACGCGTATCGATCATAATTTGATTATAAAACTGCACGATATCTTGCAAGTAATTACATGTGGAAAGATGTGGTAGATACTGATAAATTTAGACAGTATTGTTTACAACCCCTTGTACCAAGGGTAAATGGTAACACATAATGTAATGTTGCAGTTTCTAAACAATACTAAATTTATCAGTATCTACCATCTTTCCACATGTAATTACTTGCAAGATATCGTGCAGTTTTATAATCAAATCATAATCAATACTCTTTGCCATCGATTATAGTGCAAAATGCCA